CCAGAAGATTCCCCAGGGCCATGTACGGGCTGAGTCGAGAGAGGCACATCTTTCAGGGCTCAGGGAGGATACCGTTGGTCCCTTCAGGGCTGGCTCTTTGGGCAGAGGTTGGGCAGGCCCAGTAGAGTCCCCAGTAGGCCTCAGTAGAGCCCTAGGCAGACTCAGAGCACAAAATAGAAGGATCAAAGAAGGTCGGGAGGGAGTCAGAGACTGAGACCCTTGTCTCTGCCCTGAACATCTGCCCACAGATTTCCTGAGAAGTTGCTGATGCCAGGCCTCTATTTCCTGTTGCCAGGGCAGAGAGAGTGAACTTGAATGGGTGGACATGTGAGCCTCGGAGGAAATAGCAGCTTGGCAGAGCAGAGCCTGAAGTGACACAAAACAGACTTGCTTGCAGCTTGAACCCGTGAGCACCCATACTCACAAGCAGACACACACGGATATGTTTGTTGGCTCGTGGGCATGCAGACAGGCACATCATTCACATGGGCATTTAGGAGCACAGCCTGCCAATGCCATGGCTACAAACTTCAGGACATCCAGTTAGTACTGGAGGGGAGACAGAGAAGAAGGCTTCAGTCAGTGCGGCTTTAGGCAGGGAGGGGTTGAAAGTAAGCCAGAGAATAAGAACCCAGCCCATTTTGCGGTGGAATGCCTGTGTCCAGCTCAGTGGAAAGCAGGGACCAGCAGAAGACCAAACTCTGCCCTTGAGAAGCCTGCAGAACCCCAGCTGGGAGTCATCAGATTTGCTGGGTGCAATGATGAACAAAGTGGACAGAAGGCCTTCTGGGGGAGTCCATAGGAACCAAGGCTGGCCCTTGGACTTGAGGGCAGCAAAGAAGGAGGCTGGCTCTATGGCAGTGGCTCCCAAGGATGCCCCTGATGTCTTAAGACTCCCATGATATGACCAAGCTGGCTGCAGGGGTGTCAGACTTGTGTAGGAGGTGTAGACTTGGTAATGAGGCAGTTCATTTCCCAGCACCCGCCCTCTCCCATCTTGTGCTGGTCTGTGCCCTTCACCTGCGGCTCTTCTAGACCAATCTGGATTCTGCCACCGCTGACCAGATTCACCTCAAGCCAACTTCATCAGAAAAGAGAAGTGACTGTTTTACAAGGCAAAACGGTCCAGGGGCCACAAACCCTGAGGAGGCGGCTCCGGGGCCCCAAGGGCTCACCAACATGAATCTTCAGCTTCTATACTCTGAGCTTCCTTTCCCGAACTCTAAAGAAGTTTCCAGAACTGGGTCTCTCTCTCTTCCCTCAGCCTAGGCACACATGTCTACACCACAAGTTTGGCAGTGGAGGAATTGTCAGCTCTATCTGGTGTGGGAAGGACTGGGCTAAGGAAGGAAAGGACCAGTGCCTTGAGCCAAGTGAGATGCTGGACAAATACACTGGCCTAGAAGCAACGTTCTCCCACAGCCCGAGCAAGGATGGAAGCCTGTGAGGTTCTGAGGGTGATGGGCCTCAGGATGTCTAGAAAGAGCAAGAGGAGGAGTAGGTCCATTGTGGCTGAGGACACCTGGACAGCATTATAAAGCTAAAGGGAGTTGGGAAGGACGTGTCAGCACTTCACATTACAGAGTATCCCTGGATGGGGGTACAGATACAAGTTATACAGGTTAAATAACTGTAGGGGCGGGAGAGGTCAGGCTGGGCACATGACACTGAAACCAGGATTAAGAAAGGTCTGAAAGGCCAGTGGGAAACTACCAAGGGAGGAGGGCCTGGTGACAGGATAAGTGGAAGCACCCAAGGCTAGGGTGGGCCTGGATAAGCAGCTTGAGTGCTGCCATCACAGGACTAAACACAGAAGGGTCAAGAACAATGGAGGGAAGTTGTCAAGCTGTCCACAGCTCTGGTTTCTACCTTCCTAGCCTGACCAGGCTTCCTGCCTCTGAGGATACAGTCATGCCCCCACCCCTCCCCGCCTCTACTGAGAAGGGGTGGGGAGGGTGCTAGGCTCTTCCTCTCCTGGCCAGCAGCACACTGGCTGATAAGAACTCTGCAGCTTACTCTGCCCGTGGCTGGCACCATGAAAGACGACGTGGCTCTTCTGGCTACCGTCACCCTCTTGGGAGTTCTATTGCAAGGTGGGCTAGCTCCTGTCTGGAGGGTGGGTGGATCTTATACCCATGCAGCCTGCTCTCTGTCCTTCAGGCTCTTGGGGTAGGGAGTGGGGGTGCTGGCAGGCCTAGGCCCAGGCCCAGGTTAAAGACAGGACACTTCCAGCGAAGGCTCCTGCTGCCAAAGTCCAAATTCTTCAAGAGTCTTGGTCTCAAAGGGCCTGAGACCCGGCTAAGGGCTAACACTTCCCTGGAGTGGGGAAGAAGTCCTGAAGGAGTGTCTGTAGGGGAGCCATTGAAAACGTACTTGGTCAAGGTCTAGAGGAGAGCACAGTCAAGGGGGATTGTGCACAGTCAAGGGACTAGCTGAAGGATGGCAAAGATTGCTGAGGAGCCACTGAGGAAAGCATATCAGATAGCCTTGTGGTGGGGGCTGGTGTCTGCTTGGGGATATGAAGAGTAGTGGGATAGCAATGGGCTTAGACGGGGAGAGTCCTTATTACAAGGCACTTGGAGCATGGTTATCTGCCAGAGTAAGGGCTGGGTTCATGATGTCTAAACAGAGAAACTGAGACAAGAGTTGATGTCATTGTTTGGTGGCACTGAGAACCAAGTTTGAGTGACCCTGTAGTAGGGAAACCAGGGTCCCTTAGCCACAGGACGTGTGCTTCCTGTTCCTTGTGCCAATTCTTTCCTGGGACACTGGCTACTCAGGGACTAAAAGACTGGGGGTCCAGACCTGCAGAACGGGAGGTGGATATTTGCTTGTGCTTTGCAAGTCAAATAGTTCAGAGGTAAAGTCTCCTGTGGCTCCTCCCACCGACAGGTGTTGCTGGTACGTGCAACACCCCAGTCAACCCTTGGGCCGACTGAACATCGATGGTGGGACGGGTCGGAGGAGGGAGTTAGAAGGGAGTTTCTCAGCGAGAGGCAGGGAGACTGGGGGACAGGTATGCTGGACGCCACACCTGACTCCCACGTCCCCACGGCCGTATCCTACTTCTCCTTGCAGGTGATCTCTGCGC